GTTTTTGGCTTGACTTGGCTTGATTTTATTATGTTATTTTATTTTATTTTTGTAAAATGTAGTATATTTTTTATTATTTTATTTGGCTTGATCTTTAAAATAATTGTATTTTACTTCTTTTTAATCATTTTACCTATTTGTATTTTTTTTTATTTTGTGGGTGTGTGTGTTCTGAGATTGTGTGATGACATATTTGTCTGTTTGGTCCAACAGATCTGGAGTGTGCAGATGTTCCCTTATTGACTCCAGGAAGTAAAGAAATGATGTCACAGGCTCTTTTGGCCACATTCAGCGGCTTCACCAGGGAGCAACAGCGGCTCTCCATCCCAAAAGGTTCAATTCTACAGCACTTACATCTAAATAAAAACTCTCTCTAATAACTTTCTAGAATACATCTTATATCCATATTTCTGTAGCTCTATCTCTTTAAGGGAATGCTCCTGGCTCAGTATTCTGTAGCACTAGGCTGTTTTTGAAATGCCACAATCAGATTGCCTAAAAATAGATATTGCTAGATAGACACATGGCACTCTGAAGCAGCAGAGGTTATGAATTATGTTTCCCAAACTATGGCAGACCGCAAGATGGCTTTACTTGCTGTGTCTGGAGAGGCTGAAGTCTGTGTCGGGTCTGCGTCTGTCTGGAAATAGCTGTTGTGGAGCATGTGCACAGCCGAGAGAGATAGAGAGAGTTGGTGTCTAGGTCTGTAGGCTAAAATTACAGCTGTTTCAGTTCCTCTCATTATGGCATCAAATTTATAGCGAAATCAGCTGATAATTTCACATGAGCCACTGGACCTGTGACTAAAATATTACATGCATCAGCACTACAAGTACACAGTATTAGTTTCTTTAGAGTTTATCGGCAAGAGCATGCTTACTTAAACATTTTTGTAGTTGATTATGAAACAAAAACATACTGTATCCTTCTTTAATATGATGTAATCTGCACAATATATGTCATACTGTGTATAAAATACAAATTGCATATGCATGTAACACTGAGATGAGACGCGTGCCTGTCCCTTTCTCTTCTCTAGACCCCCGTCAGTGGACAGAGGCCCACGTTAGAGAATGGTTGACCTGGACAGTAAATGAGTTCAGTCTGAAGAATGTGGACTTCCATAAGTTCAGCATGGACGGAGCCAATCTCTGTGCACTGGGCAAAGAGCGATTCCTGGATCTGGCACCAGACTTTGTGGGCGACATCCTCTGGGAGCATTTAGAGATGCTGCAGAAAGGTAGACATCCTCATAGCCTCATGAAAGACGCCAGTCTTCAATCAGTGTTATTTTACTAGCATTGAGATACTGTAATAGTTTTTCTTAATTTTTTCAATTAATATTGTTTTTTTTCCTGTTTTCATTTTAATTTTAGAGATTTTTTTTTTGTCATTCTGTTGTTTTTGTCTTTTTTATTATTTAAAAAAATATATGTCTGTATATTTTTTTTAAGTTTTAGTTATTTTAGTACTTAAACTAAACAAAAATTAGAAATGCTGCGTTGCCAAGTAGCTAAAATAAAATATTTTTTTGAATATTTTAGTTCAGTTAATATGTATTTTACTTACATTTTTTAATGTTTTAGTTCACTGCAATAACCCTGTCTTCAGTATTTTTTTATTTTTTTTAATGACCGTAATCTGAATGTTAATAAATATTACATTAATATGCATGC